ATGTTACTTTTTGATGAATGCTAGTGATGTTTAAATTATGATGGTTAAAAATTTCAATTTTGTTATCTAGAGTGCTCTGTTGAGAACTGGGCTTGTTATCATTGTTTTTAAAAACATGATTGTGGTTTTCGAAGGGGTAAGAGTTGTTGTCATTAATTTTTTTGTAACGTTTTCTGACAAAATCATTTGATCTACTTGTTGTTGTTGCAGGTGTCGTTGTTGTAGCACGTGTCGTTGTTGCTGATGCTGCTGCTACTGAGTCCACATTCTCGTTACATTGCGCCACAATGATTGCAACAACAACCACTACAACGACCACAAAGAAAGCAGTAACAACATCAGGTTTTGCCGCCATGGCCTCACTGTGACGTCATTTGCGTTGCGAATGTTCAACTTTGAACCTATTAATATTTTTATGACGCAATGATGACGACGACGACGACTATGATGGTGGTAAATTTTGATAGCAATAAAATAATAATAATAGACAAAATGATTGAAAATAACGCAGTCAGAAAGAAAAGGATAAAAAAAATATGAATGTGCCGTGATGGATATAAATAGCAATGTTATTGGTATTTAACAAATAAAAAAAGTGTTTTTTTCCAAATAAATGAATTTTTTGCTGAAGATTTCAACCAAACAAATAACGGTTGGTTGCGATACTGAGAATAGAACGATGGTTACATCAACAACGCTGGCAACAACCACAACATCAGTTATAACATCTGCCCAATATGCACTTATTGTGTAATTTATCACACGTTTCATTTGTCATGTCAGAAACAATTGATCTTTTGTGAAAAAAATGTGGTTGTACATGACAAGAAGAAGTAACATGAACATAGACAAATGAAAGCACACACACACGTGCACACACAAAAACACACACAAAGATGTGCACACACAGAGACACACATAAAAATACATCAGAAAATTATTAAATATTCGTATATTTACACGCAAAAAATCAGATAAAGATAAAGAGAACCTTCCCATTAAATAAGGTAGAAAGAGCATTGAAACAAATTAGGAAGTCGTGTTAATGATAGGAAGAATGCGTGTGCCAGTGCCATATGTCGACACACAACGTTTCATATCGCAGGTTTATTCCGCTTTTATTATGTTTTAACACGTTGTCTCTTCGGTACGTAGGAACCAGGATGATGAAGACGATGAGAAGGAAGATTGGAAAGTACACAGAAGTACTCGGTCGGTTTTTTGTTGGTTGGATGCGGTCCGTTTAAACAAATATTGCTTCAGCTCTGGTTTGCTGACAAAAGTCTTTTTTTTGTTTTGTTTATGCGTTTTTTCAATTGATTTTATTGTGACCTTGATGGGGTGTTTGAAATGAGAATGAGTTTATTATTTTGTAATAATCTTTTGTTGGTACGAAATTGCAAGTATGTTTGTGTATCAGTTGAAAATATTCAAAAATTTGTGAACGCCAGCAGAATACGTAAAAGTAACATACAAAAGTCTCCAGAAATGACTTTAAAATCTCAAAACCAACACCGAAAAGTGAATCACACATAATTATTGATTACATCAAATTAGAAAAACAACAAAATGAAATTAATTCAAACATGCACAAAAATACATTCATGCATAAACTAATGTGAATAACAGCGACCACAATACAAAACATCAAATATACAAAAATGAAATCATACACGCAAAGAAATATGATTGTATGCAAACGCAATATTTCTGAGATGCAAGCGTAAAACCTGCATTCAGAAATGATTTGACATGACATCAGACCCATACATACATACATACACACACACATACATACATACATATATACATACATACATACATACATACATACATACATACATACATACATACATACATACATACATACATACATACATACATACATACATACATACAGACAGACAGACAGACATACATACAGACATACAAACAATAACACATACACACATTCATACGGCACAGAAAATGGAAAATGAAATGATAAAGAATAGCATAACCGTTATTCATAATTATACATTTGTATTATCAGTCTTAACACGTCGCCATCATTAAAGGGACTGGCCTCATGTGATTATGTGTGCGTGTGTGTTTGTATGTGTGTGAGTTTGCCTGTCTGTGTGTGTTTGTCTGTGTGTGTGCTTGTGATTGTGTGTGCGTGTAAGTTCGCACGCGCATGTGTTCATGTAAAAATGCGATTGTGTGCGTTCATGTTATTTTACATCGTTACCTTTGTCTTAGACTACTCACTGCTACTAATAAAAATTTTACCTTTCTTCAATGTCATTATTCATGTTATAATAATAATAATAATAATAATAATAGTGATAATATTTGTTTTGATTAATTTAAAGTTTAACAAACTTTAGATAGGTTATAGCCAACAATTCGATAGAACTCATGCAGTATTGTATGAAGTGAGGTGTCCTTCCAACACGTATTTTATTTTGTGTATGTTCTTTGTATCGTCTGAGTAAGGGTACTATGTATCGGCGCGTATTAATGTACGTATGATGGTGGTCATCTAGACATTTACATTAATCTTTATTCATCATCATTATCTTCTTCATCAACTTCTAAAAATGATGGTGGTTATAATTACGAAGAAGATGATGATAAGTAAGATGATGATGATGATAATGATGAGCAAGATGATGATTACGTTGATGATAATGAAGATGAAGATGGTAATAATGATCTAGACAAATGTACAACCATTAATATAAGGATGAGGTAACGATGAAAACAAAAAAATGCATTCTTATGCTATTTAGACGTTTTCAATATTGTAATATAAATACGTTTGTTTGAAAATTACACTAATTTAAGAGGTTTTTGTTGTATTTTATTTGTATTTTGTTGTCGTTTATGTATCTCTTGGACAAAATTTGGTGTATACGTACTTGTATATTATTGTATATGTATTTTGTACGTATTCATCAAATTTTTTGTGTTGTATATGTCTTTTGTATTGCATATTTTTTGCATTGTACGTTTATTCTATTTTTCTACCTGCAAAACAAAATCATCAAAGCACACACAATGAAAACACCTGCAATATTAAACTTCAGGTATGCACATGAACATTAAAAAAATTTTAAAAGATTTCCTTAAGTACACTTTTCCTTCTCACACGCATACACACACACACACACATACACATACGCACACATGCACACGCACACACGTGCGTAGACATACACAGGCACATTACACACATCCACACACGTACATACAAACACACGATCACATTCATGCACCTACAACTGTGCACCTACAACGAACATGTGGATATTGGGAAGTTGAAAAAATCTAAAAACCATTTGAAAAGATTTGTGAGTTCTTTTAAATCGCCACGTAAGACGTAACAAAATAACAACAATTACATGGAGAGCAATGAAAAACTTACAAAAATTTACAAACATAACAACAACAACAACAACAACACCAACGACACCACCAACAACAACACCAACATCAACAACAACAACCGAAAACCACCAACAACAACAGCATCTACGACGGGAACACTCATCGAGTAATGCGCCTCTCACATAATCAACGAGAAAAAATATTGACAACAACAACAACAACATTACAAGCTTCAACAATAATTCAAAATAAACACCAACAACAACAACAACGAATACTGCTACTACTACTACTACTACTACTACTTCTACTACAACAACAACAACCAGAACAAACTTTTTTATCTGGAAACTAATTTCGAAATCTGTAAAACACATTTGACAACATCAACATTAAAGT